CAGGTATGGGTACATCTGGGACGTGGGGTGTGGGGACACCTGGACAGGTATGGGGACATCTGGGAAAGGGGGTATTGGGGACACCTGGACAGGTATTGGGATATCTGGGATGTGGGGTATGGGGACACCTGGGCAGGTATGGGGACATCTAGGCAGGTGTGCGGACATCGGGGAGGTGGATATTGGGAGTACCTGGACAGGTATGGGTACATCTGGGATGTGGGGTGTGAGGACACCTGGACAGGTATTGGGATATCTGGGAAATGGGGTATTGGGGACACCTGGATGGGTGTGGGTTCATCTGGGATGTGGGGTATGGCGACATCTGGACAGGTATGGGGACATTGGGGAGGTGGCGTATTGGGGACACCTGGACAGGTATTGGGATATCTGGGAGGTGGGGTATGGAGACATCTGGGCAGGTGTGGAGACACCTGGGACGTGGGGTATGGGGACACCTGGGCAGGTGGGGTATTGGAACACCTAGACAGGTATGTCGGCACCTGGGGGTGGGGTATGGGGACATCTGGGCAGGTGTGGGGACATCTGGGCAGGTGTGGGTTCATCTGGGACGTGGGGTATGGGGACACCTGGACAGGTATGGGGACATCGGGGAGGTGGCGTATTGGGGACACCTGGGCAGGTATGGGTACATCTGGGACGTGGGGTATGGGGACATTGGGGAGGTGGCGTATTTGGCACACCTGGACAGGTGTGGGGACATCTGGGACATGGGCTATGGGGACACCTGGACAGGTATTGGGATATCTGGGATGTGGGGTATGGGGACACCTGGGCAGGTATGGGGACATCTAGGCAGGTGTGCGGACATCGGGGAGGTGGATATTGGGAGTACCTGGACAGGTATGGGTACATCTGGGATGTGGGGTGTGAGGACACCTGGACAGGTATTGGGATATCTGGGAAATGGGGTATTGGGGACACCTGGATGGGTGTGGGTTCATCTGGGATGTGGGGTATGGCGACATCTGGACAGGTATGGGGACATCGGGGAGGTGGCGTATTGGGGACACCTGGACAGGTATAGGGACATTGGGGAGGTGGCGTATTGGGGACACCTGGACAGGTGTGGGGACATCTGGGACGTGGGCTATGGGGACACCTGGACAGGTATTGGGATATCTGGGATGTGGGGTATGGGGACACCTGGGCACAGGTATGGGGACATCTAGGCAGGTGTGCGGACATCGGGGAGGTGGCGTATTGGGAGTACCTGGACAGGTATGGGTACATCTGGGACGTGGGGGGTGGGGACACCTGGACAGGTATGGGGACATCTGGGAAAGGGGGTATTGGGGACACCTGGACAGGTATTGGGATATCTAGGCAGGTGTGTGGACATTGGGGAGGTGGCGTATTGGGAGTACCTGGGCAGCTAACATCTGGGACGTGGGCTATGGGGACAGGGGGTATTGGGCACGTGGACAGGTATGGGTACATCTGGGACGTGGGGTGTGGGGACACCTGGACAGGTATGGGGACATCTGGGAAAGGGGGTATTGGGGACACCTGGACAGGTATTGGGATACTGGGGACACCTGGACGGGTGTGGGGATGTCTGGGAAATGGGGTATTGGGGACACCTGGACAGGTATTGGGATATCTGGGAGGTGGGGTATGGAGACATCTGGGCAGGTGTGGAGACACCTGGGACGTGGGGTATGGGGACACCTGGGCAGGTGGGGTATTGGAACACCTAGACAGGTATGTCGGCACCTGGGGGTGGGGTATGGGGACATCTGGGCAGGTGGGGTATCACAGAATGGTCAGTGTTGGAAGGGACCTCTGGAGATCATACCTGGGCAGGTGGGGTATGGGGACATCTGGGGAGGTATGGGGATGTCTGGGGCAGGTGGGATATTGGGGAGACATGGGGACACCTGGGAGGTGGGGTATGGGGACACTGGGCAGGTGTGAAAGTGTGGGATGTTGGGGGTACTTGAGTACGTGGGGTAAGGGGCAGGCGTGGGTGGCTCTGAGCAGGTTGGGTACAGCGGTGCCCAGGTAGGTATAGGGGCACTCGGGCAAGTGGGGTGCAGGTACCTGGGCAGCTATGGGAGCACTGGGCAGGTGAGGTACGGTGCACCTGGGCAGGTAAGATATTGGACAGGTAAGATCAAGACAGGTAAGGGATTATGGGGGCACTGGGGTAGGTAAAGAGGGATGAGTTGGGATGAGCACCTGGGCAGGTGTGAAAGGCACCTGAGCAGCTGCTTTTAAAGTGGGTGTACAGGTATGAGGGGTAATGGGCATAAACCTGAACATAAGAAGTTCCATCTTAACACAAGAAGGAACTTCTTTGAGGGTAGTGGAGCCCTGGCACAGGCTGCCCAGAGAGGTTGTGGAGTCTTCCACTCTGGAGACATTCCAAACCCTCCTGGACGCTGTCCTGTGCAACCTGTTGTAGGTGACCCCGCTCTGGCGGGGGGTTGGGCTAGATGATCTTCAGAGGTCCCTTCCAACCCTGACCATTCTGTGATTCTGTATGTGCTGGTATGAACATCTCAACAGGCATGGGGGCATCTGGGCACCTGCAGAGGCGGGATAGGGGAGTCCCCTGGAGGTGCTGCCCCCGGGACCTGACAGCACAGGGATGGAGCAGGGCAAAACTGTCTGTGAAGATGATTTGGGCTCAGTGGTGGGAGCCTCCCTCACAGGTCCATGCTGTCCTGCCAGGGATCAGCTGGACTGGCAGCCCGCCTGGCTCTGCCACCCTGTCCAGCTGCCCTGCCTGGCAACACCAATGAGAAATGAGGATATGACTGCCCCGCTCGCCTATGGGGCGATCCTGAGCCTTTCCTTTTCTTCTCTTCCAAGGACTTCAGTTTGTCCAGTGAAAAGGATGCCCACGCCAGTAGCGGCGATGAGAACTCAGAGCGTGGCAACTGGTCAAGCAAAGGCGACTACCTGCTCTCCATGGTGGGCTACGCCGTGGGCCTGGGCAACGTCTGGCGGTTTCCCTACCTCACCTACCAGAACGGCGGAGGTACCTGTGTTGCAGGGCAGGGACGGGTGGGCGCACCTCGCTGTGCCCGAGAGCGAGGAGGGCCAGCTCCGAGGGCCAGCCCTGAGGCTGGGCACGTTTGGTCAAAGCTGGATGTGAGCATCACCCTGGGAAGTGGGACGGTGCCCACTGATGGGAAGAGGAGTAGGAGGCATCCTGGTGCTTTTTGCGGTACCATCTGAGGAGGGAAATAGTATTTAGTTTTAACTGCAAACTTTCACCTGAGAGTTCCAGAACTCTTCTGATTTACTCCCAACCAATGTCGCATCTTTTTTGTCAATGTGCTAATTTCCTCTGGTTACCGAAATATCTGTTCTCCCGCCCCAGTGCTCACCTCCCTGATATGTTTATAGAGAGCAATTGAATCCCCTCTGCCCCTTTGTTTTGCCAGGCAAACAAGCTAAGCTGGAATAATTATCCAAGCTCAATAATTATCCCCATCAGATACTTGGGAAGCGTGAGGCAGAGAGAACCTCTACCTGCTTACACAATGAACTGGTGGCAAAGCCAAATGGAGGCACCGGCTTCCCCGGCTGCTAGTCCAGAGCGTTGTCTACCTGCCAGGCAACCAGTGGTAATTAAAAAGAGCGTAAACGCCAAGTAACTGCAGAGGACTGACTTGTATGTACTTAGTTGCTCTGCCTGACAGATGTTGGAAGCTGAATTCTGGACTGTAAAATGCAGCACAGCCCATAGAGCTGCGCGTGGGACACAAGGTGGCATTCTTGGTCCAGAAGTTTTATTTGGAGTGAGCTTGGCATGGCTGCGTTACTTACGGTTTTCTTCAACAAAACTGCAAAAATAAGTCAGGACATTGGCCCTTCTATTGGGTGTCTCTTTTTCTTTTTCTTAGCTGCTGCAGCAGAAAGCTTTGCATTTAAAGCATACTTGTGCTGCTGCTTGTATCCTGCTGCTTGTATCCTGCCCCTTGCCCACAATTGATGCAGGCAACTGTTACATCCTTGTTTCGAAACACAGGAGTAATCCAGTTAATTCTGTGGGACTATTTACTTCCTTAAATTACAGCAGGTATTTGCAGTTCCTTGCAGAACAGGGTCCTCGATTGCTTTAAGTTCACTGAGAGTGAAGAGGTCGGATTTCCCCGGGGTTGTTGGGTCGTGTTTAGGAAACCTGTGCTCTCGCTTTGCGCGCAGGCAGAGCGGTGCCAGTCCCTTTCACAGAACAGGGTTGTCATTGATATCGGTTTAACGTGCGCTTTAAAATGGCCTTGAACAAGAGCCACGCTGAGATGCTGTTCCGCACGGGAGTCAGCCAGCCATAGAAAATAACTGTCACGCTTTGATGTCCAGTAGCTCCTTGACCAGGGCAGTTGCAAACCTGACATGAAGGAGTGATTCTGTTCCATTTTTTAAAAAATTAAGAGCTGGAAGATAAACTAGAAAGCAGACAAAGCCGACGGTACCTACAGCTGAGCAGTGTTCCTGCTCGTATGAGCGCTGTAAGTCTTTGATAGCTTTTGTAAAATCCTTTTAATTCTTTCAGAGAAGCCATCCCATGTAAATCACCAGCTCTCCTGGTGATCGGTGTCTCTTCATTGCAGGTACTCTTTAATCTTATAGAAACAAATCTCTGGATTCTGCAAAAAGCAGAAACCCCCACAGCGGGGGGTCCTCAAACCAGGACAGGGGGAAAAAGGGGGGAGTATAAAATGTGCTGGAACTGTGGTGAATACCGAAAGATTCATTGTTTTCTCTGTGTGTTTGTGATTTGTTTTGGTTTTTTTCCCCCCCTCTCTCCTCTCAGGTGCTTTTCTCATCCCGTACACCCTGATGTTGGCCTTAGCTGGCTTGCCCTTATTCTTCATGGAATGTTCCCTTGGGCAGTTTGCCAGTCTTGGGCCAATTTCTGTCTGGAGAATATTACCATTGTTTCAAGGTCAGTATTGTTAAGTTTCCTTCAAACTTTTTTATTCTAGTAATAAAGAGAGGTGAATTAACGATTTCCTCCTGAAGTTACTAATTCTGAGAAGCCGGTTTCCTCGTAGGGAATACTTCCAAGGTTACAAGGTCACTATTATGTTGCCAGGTAGATTTTCCTTATACAGTTAATAAACAGATACGTGTTAAAGATAGTCAATTCTGAGAGGCTTTAGCCATGATTCTGCTGGTGCTCTGCAGCACGCCACCCGCCCTGCGGCTGTCCGGGCAGAAGGAAATCCTCACCCTGTTTGCTCTGTGAGGCAAAGCCTCCGTTAAACACCTGGCGCTGCCTGCGAGTGACTGAAAACCATTTTTAGAAGTTCACTTTATCGCCGTTTCTTTATGCTTTACATTCTACGTTGCTTGCAAGGTTAATATTGGTGGGGCTAATTCTGGATTTGGCTGCCGGCGTGGGTGCGTGGGTCTGATTGCTTTATGCAATGCCGTGCACGCACCCATCCAACCCACTGCCTGCGGAGTTCCTCTGCTGGGGTAATAAAACAGGCTGGACTCCAGCTTCGTGAGGAGAGGTGCCTCTTGTGCTGGTAGAAACAGGCAAACTACCGCTGCAGAGCACAACTACCTCTGTGTTTGGAAACCACTAACCATGCACCCCACTCACTCCTACCTATCCATCCATCCGGGTCCTGTACCCATGGGTGTAAAGTACTATGCAATTGGTCTTGTTTGGCCTCTTTAGCTATTGGAGGAATTAATGTAGGAACAAGGAAGTTTTTCTGATGCAATAAGACTATCACTTTCCACCTTCTCCAGAAACAAAAGGCATTACAGCCTGGCCGGTTGCCTGAACTCTTTTTTGCCAGTCTCCATTCTGTAGCACAAGCAACCTTTCACGAGAGCAGCTTTAAAGCAACAGTCTATAGACATAGCCAATCTCTTCTGTGTCTGTGAAGACATAAAGTTGGATATAGCCTCCAAGAGGGTTGGGAGAGTTTGGCAGGCTTTCCCAAACTCGCTGGACAAAGTTCATTTTGACAAAGGAGAACAGTGTTTTTGGCACAGATTTACTGGTCTGGGCTGCTTCTCGTTAATTGCAAACCCATTCACTACAGCAGGATCTTTAAAATGGCTTGGTCCGTCCCAGTATAGTTTCTTTTATTTTACTGAGCAATCAAAGTTTCCCGTTGAACTGGGACAGAACAAAATATTGCATTTCTCCTTTAGACTTGGCCTTAGCAATTAGTCCAATTTTTCTGTGCGCCTGATTCGAACTCGGTGTCAAAACCACAGTTGAGGTGGTCAGTTTGGATGACAACCCTCATTTCATCACTCTATCCTTTCCCTGCTTGGTTGCTGTTAAAAATTATTTAAAAACCAAACATAAACCAACCTCAACTTCTTTCCAAGTAGCCTGTTAAAAGTCAACTGAGAGCCATTCATTTTTTTTTCTTTCAACCCAAATGTGGGGTAGTTAAGACATTGTGTCTTTCTCTTTCCTAGGAGTGGGCATCACGATGGTCATCATCTCGACGTTTGTGACGATCTACTACAATGTCATCATTGCTTACGCGCTCTATTACTTATTTGCCTCGTTTCAAAAAGTGCTGCCGTGGTCAGACTGCTTTTCCTGGGCAGACGAGTTCTGCAGCAAAACACGATTAGGTACTGCACTTAACAGATGGGGCTTAATATCACTGGTTTGGATACTTGTCCTTTTCACTCTTTTCTGGGAGAAATTACAGGAGCAAGACAGCGACCCGTGGCTTGAAAAGTCCTTCATGGAGCGCTGTCTCTGAACAGAGGGGAGTGATGCCTGTCTGCTTCCCTGCCACCAGTTCTGGGTGCGTGGGAAATGCAGAAGGAGCTGGGCTGAAACCTCCTCCTTGGAGCCTTTTTATTCTCCTTGAAAATATAAGGGTTCTTCTGGTACATGCAGTCCCTGGAAACACTGCATTCTCATTTCATCGGGCTTCACGGCAAAGCACGTGCCTTCCTTACCTGAAACAAGTATCGCTGTAGCTTTTATTGGGAGTTCTTTCATTGCCCTGTTGCCTCCCCTGTGGGTATGGTAATCCTGAGCACCAGTGAGGCACTGGTTTCACACTTTATTAACTCTTTTGAACATATCTCTGTTCTTGATGTTTGGCCGTACATGTGCTGCCAAACGCTTGTTATCTCAGCAGTTTCCATATCAGACCAGTTTAAGGCAAAGGTGAAGTTGGTGAGATAATTAGTAGTTAGTAGCTGGAAATGTGTTGCTGTGTAACCTCTGAGATTACTAAAATAACAGGGACAGGATCGCAATGGATTGCCTTATTTAAAGTGTTAACGTGATTGTAACTCTCTTAACCATGTATCTGAAAATCTCTTCTAAGGTTCATAGGTTTCATAAAATGGAGTTGAGATGCTCTCTATAAAAAAAAAAATAATTGACGCCTGCATATGGGTTAAACCAAAATATTTTAGCTCAACTTTTCTAAGTGCTGGAGGAATATGAAACTGAACTGAAGCTGTCTTGAAATAGGCTTCAACAAGACTTTTCCAGTAAATGCTGATGTGTACATGCTGATACACAGTTCTTTAATGTATATTCTGGCAAAAAAATGTCACAACCCAAAAAAAACCCCAAACAGCACTCACCCCCTAAGGAAAATTTTTAAAGAGGTCTAGTAAGCCCTCTGCCATAACAAGGTGAACTCGCTGGAGGATGATCTGTGTGTAACCTTGGTTGGGACTAGGGTTTTCGCGGAGTAACCAAGGCTGCAAGCTTAACCGTCCTTAGGTCTGGCTTTTGCCAGTGAAAGGTGGAGCTGAGCACACCAGACTCTTGGTGTTTTGATTTGCAGTCAAAGTAACAAAGTCATGGCTGATGGTTCAGTGAAGTGGTAGTTTGGGTTTGTTTCTAGATGTTGTTAATAGGCACAGTGAAGCTGCAACTCTTTAGAAAACATATTTGCTATAATAGTCTGATTTTTATAATAGTCATCACTGCTAACAGTCCCTTTTGCTTGCTTGCTTTCAGTAAGCGACTGCAACACAACCTTAGACGGAGAAATCATTCATGCAAACTACTCGTTCATCTCCAGCAAAAATCTCACGTGTATAAATGGCACCATGAACTACAAACCCGTGCAGTTTCCCAGTGAGCAATACTGGAAGTAAGTAAATATTTTAAAGAAATTACTAAAACTGTGTTTATTATGCATTGCGGTTTTGAATGTGCCTTCTACTTTTTTGTGATCTTGTTGTCCAGAAACAATCTAGTCAAGGCAGCGTGGGTATGCAAATCTGTGCAGAGGAGACTTAAAATTTTATTGATGGGTCTGGGCCCTCAAGAAAAAATAGAGAAGCAAATGAGTCAACGGTCAACATTTAGCAAACTGAAAAATAATCCATCTTAAATAAGTCCTCTTCTCTGGAGTCCTGGTAGGGACTACTTAGCATCTTCATGTAGAGCACATAGTTTATTTCAGGAGTTACTGTGAAAAACATATTCACCTTATTCTGAATCTGGGCCTGTTGTGAAATTGCCATTTCTTTAGCCACATGGTTTCAGTCTCATGTTCCTTGGGTCGCCAGGAACTGATTTGTCTTACGGTCTCTTCTCTTGCTATCAGAATTTCACGGTTAACATGCAAGAGCTGAGGTAGGCCTGATGGGAGAAGTATGGAGAGCTGAGGGCTGGTAGACCTTAATGCAGTTACATATTCAGGTTTTTGATGCCAATCACGCAGTTCTAACTGCTCACTCATGGAAGAGGCTGCAGTGTCTTGCAAGACGTGCAGAAACCAGCTCGCTTTCCTTCAAGCAGTGGCTGAAGAGGAGGGCTGTGTGCTGCTGTCGCCCTCTTCTCATGGCAGAGTCTTGTCTTTTCAGTAAAGTGACTCTTCAGCGCTCAAGTGGGTTGGACGAGACCGGTCACATCGTGTGGTACCTGGCGCTCTGCCTCCTCCTGTCCTGGATGATTGTTGGAGCTGCGTTGTTTAAAGGAATAAAATCTTCTGGAAAGGTAAGTTGGGAAGAGCAAGTAGCAGCCTTATGGCCTGATCCTGCCCCTCCAGTGCCAAGGTTAGCGCAAGGCAGGATGCAGTCTGAACCCACTACCTTGTGCTGGACTTAGCGTTGGATCGGTTTTCTGCTCCTTGGCTTCATAACTGTTACATAAAATATGAGTAAGGTGCTGATGACACCGCAGTTACTTAACATGCGGGTCTCGGCACTGCCAGGGCTGCCAAATATTTGGGGGATCTTGCTGTCACACAGGTGATCCCAGCTGAGTTTTGGCAGTCACCCGGCCTGTTGTGATGGGCATGTGCCTGTGACTGCGCACGCCCTGGGAACACCCGGTTATTATTTGCACCTCCAAACTAGTTGAGATGTTTGGACAATACAGGTCAAGTCCTGCAAACAGATGTGCGTGTACGGGTTCCTGCCAGATTGTGAAATACTGTTTTTGCTCAAGGTTTCATGCTGCTTTCAGGGAGCAGCTCCATAGGCACCGGTTTTCAGACTCTGGCTCTGCTGGGCTCCCATTTCCACGTGCTGCAGCGTGGCTGCAGGGAGTTTTCCTTGGGCTGGGTCAGCTCCTCTCCAGACTTCAGGCAGGCTGAATTTTATTCTTTCCTGCCTTAGGCCCTTTTCCTGGTTTAGTTTCTTCCTCCCAATACTCCTTTCTTATCGCCCTGTTGCATCTTCATTGCTTACTTCTTCATTCTCTATTGCATTCATTCTTTCACCGTTTCTGTGCTAATTTCCCCCCCCCACCCCGCCCCATTTTGATTTGTTTTGTCATTGTGCCTTTCCGTGGTTCCTCGCTGTCTGTCTTGCTTTCCTAAGTCTGATATCTCCTCCTATTCTGCTTTCTATTTGGAGCTTTCGGACCTCCGTCTTGGCATTTTGGGTTGGAGTATCTGTGCTTTCCCAGCCACGGTCGTTCTGACGCGTGGCTCCTCTCAAACTTGCGTTCTTTGGGTTCCTGGCAATTGGCTCCTCCTGTTGTCTCTTCTCTACTGGCATGAAGGTAAGCCTCTCTGAGGAGTGAGGTAAGACTCAGTAGCATCTAGCTGGGCGGGAACAAGGCAAAGATGAAGAGTGGAGAGAATTGTCTATTCTGGGCAAATATAAGGGAGATCTTCAGAAACGGCGAACTCGCCAGAGCATGGTGCAATGCTATAGCTTAGTGTAACCAGCAGTACCAGGTCAATTATCTGGCTGCGTAACACTGAAACTAAAACTCGAGAAACAAGACTATTGTTGAACGTAACCTGCATGATAATAGCACTGCTGAGCTGTGCTCCTGGCCTGAATCCCATCGCACTAGAAATTGTGTAGGCAAACAACAAAGATCTGTGTCCAAGAGAACCTAAAAGTCCTTGTTCCCAGTAAAGAAAGCTTCCAGCATGGCTTTCTTTTTTGCTTTCTTTTTTTTTTTTTTTTTCTTCCAAGTCTCAGCAGGAGATAATTCCATCCTGGTCACCTAATTTTGACCAGCTTTCAGTTCACATTTGCTAGAAGCATTGCCCAGCAAGAGACCTCTGGGGTAGTTGAGTCCAGGCCTAGCTACAGCAGTAAATCGTGTCCAAAAACACATTTCTGAAACGGGTCAAGTGCTATCTGCAAAGTGGATGTGTGGCTTGGGCCTTCTGCTGCTGCTGGAATGCAGCTCCAGAACCAGCTAAGCCAGATGGTTTAGTGCTTGGTGTGCATTCGTTTCCTTGGCCGCCTGTTTTTCAGTTGTACCAGCAGACCTTAGCCTAAAACCTGGCCCTTCCTCCTGCGCGGGGGTCGGTGCAGCCCCTCGCTTCTAACCTGTGTCCCTGCCCTTCTTTCTGCAGGTCGTCTACTTCACCGCGCTCTTCCCGTACGTCATCCTGCTCATCTTGCTGGTGCGAGGTGCCACCCTGGAAGGTGCTCTGGACGGCATCGAATACTACATTGGGAGACAGTCCAACATCACCAAGCTGATGGAGGCCGAGGTGAGAGGCAGCGTTAGCCCCAAAAGTGTGATGCGCTTCTGTGGTTCTATGTGCTCGTTGCTTACAGAGCGACTTCTCTTTTTTCCAGCCAGGTGCTTCTTCATGTCCTGCCCTGCTTTTTGTACCTGCAGCTGGGTTCTGCTTTTTCAGCAAGCCCCAGCTCTGTCAGAAGTCCAAGCCCCTGTTCTAGCTACTCGCAATGTGAAAAAATAGGCACCCTCCACCCCCTCCCTGCCACACCGGGCAGTGGGGACAACTGCGGCATTGCCTCCGAGCAGCTCTCGGGGGTCACACTGGAGTTTCATCCCAGCAAGGCTTGCTGAGAAAGTTCTTGCTGTGGGATCAAGCGTTGCTCTCGCCTGTGTCCCACTTGCTTTGGTTGCTGATAATTTCAAGGGACTTTATCAGAAGGTTGAAGGGATCCCTGAGTTTGAAATTCAGGCTGTGCTTTGCACAGAAGTTGGCTGGGGAAACTAGGTGGACCGGGAAGGGCACTTTGTGCAAAGGCAGCCTGTGTTTTTGTCCTGCAGCTGGGTTCTGCTTTTTCAGCAAGCCCCAGCTCTGTCAGAAGTCCAAGCCCCTGTTCTAGCTACTCGCAATGTGGAAAAAATAGGCACCCTCTACCCCCTCCCTGCCACACCGGGCAGTGGGGACAACTGCGGCATTGCCTCCGAGCAGCTCTCGGGGGTCACACTGGAGTTTCATCCCAGCAAGGCTTGCTGAGAAAGTTCTTGCTGTGGGATCAAGCGTTGCTCTCGCCTGTGTCCCACTTGCTTTGGCTGCTGATAATTTCAAGGGACTTTATCAGAAGGTTGAAGGGATCCCTGAGTTTGAAATTCAGGCTGTGCTTTGCACAGAAGTTGGCTGGGGAAACTAGGTGGACCGGGAAGGGCACTTTGTGCAAAGGCAGCCTGTTTTTTTGTTGTTTTTTTGTTGTGTTTTTTTTTTTTGTTCTGGCTTATGCCAACATTAGTTCAGCTTTACCGAAAGCAAGGCTTAAGCGCAATGTTTATTTGTGGTATTTTACGTGAGCATTTGGCACTGACTGAGGGGCTGCAGCAGAGGCAGAAGTTTTTTTCTGAGTCACGGTGTGAGGAGCACAAGTGGGAGAGCACGTGGAAGTTCTCACTCCTGCAACCCTGTCCTGGTTTTCCTGATTCATTGGCACTGTGGCAAGAGTCATATCTCGACAACCCACGTACCCAAGTGAACTGAATCCCTTCTTCAGGGCTAGCCTGATAAGATTTATGTATTTGGCGACATACTTGGGATGTGACCTTTGGAAATCATAGAAGATACTGCTGGTGCTTGAGGCCGCAAGGTCACCAGTGTGCTATATCGCACCTACTCTGAAGTTCATATGCAATAGAATTAGATATTCAGACCAAATGTAGAAAAATCTCTGGAGCTTCTATAGGAAGCGAACTTAAATGTTTATGATATGTACTGTAAGTGATACAGTAATTCCCATGTTCTTATTTCTGGTAGGTTTGGAAAGATGCAGCCACCCAGATATTCTACTCCCTGTCTGTGGCATGGGGTGGGCTTGTTGCTTTGTCTTCGTACAATAAGTTCCACAACAACTGCTACTCGGATGCTATTTTAGTTTGTGTAACCAACTGCGTCACCAGCATATTCGCTGGGTTTGCGATATTCTCCATCTTGGGACACATGGCGTTTGTGTCCGAGAGACCTGTCTCGGAGGTCGTGGACTCAGGTAGGCTGGTTATCGCGTGCTCGGTGTTGGGACTTGCTGTGACCAAGGCACGACAATAACCTTCTTCCTTCCACTGCCTTCCAGGATTTGATCTGGCATTTGTAGCCTACCCAGAGGCTCTCTCCAAGTTACCAGTTTCTCCTCTGTGGTCCTTCTTGTTTTTCTTCATGCTCCTGCTCTTGGGCCTTGACTCGCAGTTTGCCACCATAGGTGAGTGGGGTTTTCAGGAACCCATGACTTTTCAAATGACCATTACCTTTCTTAATCGTGCCGCCTCTGCTCAAACCCCATGCTTCTTCCTTTGCAGAAACACTTACAACCACCATACAAGATATATATCCCAAAGTGATGAAAAAGCTAAGGATCCCTGTAACCTTGGGTGTGTGCATATTGCTCTTCTTCCTCGGTCTTATCTGTGTTACTCAGGTAAGACACTAAATTCTTTTTTTGCCTGTGGGTTTAGTTATGCTGCAAGCGGGGAACTCAAGTCAAAACATCCTCTCCAACCGTTCCTGTTTGGGTGGATCGATCTGGGAGACTCTTTGAATTCTGTCAGTGTGCAATGCGATGTGGCACGGAGCAATTTGCTCCATGCAAATAAGAAATTCCCAGAGGGAAGCTTGAAGAACCTGGGGTTTTCTGTGATCATTGAGCCGAGATGTGCTTTTAAATAGAAGGCCTGTATAAAGCCAGTGAACCATCGACCTGATTTATTGCTCCTCGGTTCAGGACGTTACTTGTGTGATCTCAAGCAGAGGCACACGGTGTGTGTGCAGCACTGCTAATAGACACCGACAGGATCTTTTTGTTCAGAACTGACTACCAAACAGGACAGGATTTGAGAAATGGCCTAGTTGAGTCATAAAAACCTCATGAGCATCTGTAGATTGTATGGTTACTTCTCCTGTGTGTGTGTGTGTGTGTATGTGTGTATACATACTTGTGTATGTGTGTATACATACTTGTGTGTGTATACATACACATACTACGTAAAAGGAATTCTAAGTATACTGTGTAAGTTTCTTGAGGCAATTGCTTTTAAGGATATGAAGGTTCATCGCCATGACTCTATCTAGAAATGCAGATTTATATATGCAATCAGACTGATAATGTGAATAAGATAATTGTGATGAATAGGCAGTCGGATAGTCAGGCAAAGCATGTAAGTTATGAAACACGACGGCAGGGAAGCTTGCAAAGGACTTTGTACGCCAGAGGGTGAGATGGCTTAAAGCTTGTTTCCTGCTGGTGTTTAAAGCTGTGTTTAACCCACGTGGGAAACTTGTGAGTGTAGGAGCACGTGAGCCTGCCAGAGATGCTAACTGGTCTCACTGTTGCTGTAGCTCAGTGTTAAAACTTCAGCACCAGCTTCAAGGCAGTAAGTTCCAAACTTGTGTTTTGCTCTCAGCTGTCTGTATATACTTTGCATAGGCGTATCTCTTGTTATTAATCTGCAGTATTTCGTCAGATGTGCTTTTCAACCTGGCGTAGAGACATTGAAACGAAATAATGTTCACAAATGTGTACTTAGCCTGGAGAAATGCAAATTTAAAAAAACTCAGGCTGGTGATTAGTTAAACTGGCTTGAACAATGCAATTTATTTTATTTGCATAAAGCGGTCACTGGGACTGGGTACATTTTTACCTCTGTATTGTTTATTCTACAGGCAGGAATTTACTGGGTTAACCTAATAGATCACTTCTGCGCTGGATGGGGAATCCTTATTGCAGCTGTCCTGGAGATAATAGGCATCGTCTACATCTATGGTAAATTATTTGCATTGAAAATCCACGACTTCACTATGCAATCCCAGGCACAGTGTATATTAAAAAAATTAATTACCATAGTAAAGCATTTATAACTTAATTGGCTGAAAAGCTTTAATGGTCACCGCAGAACTGGAGAAGCTGACCTTGACCATTGCCTTTCGTCTATCCCTTTTGAGTAACCACACCTGCAAGGGAGGCACCCGCTTTACGGTGTGCCCTACGATTGTCTTTCAACAGGAGGGAACAGGTTCATTGAAGACATTGAAATGATGATTGGCAAGAAGAGCCGTTTATTCTGGCTGTGGTGGAGAATGTGCTGGTTTTTCATTACTCCTGTGCTGTTAATGGTGAGTGTAGGTGACTGGATTGTGTTAGTGGGATGGAACTTAGTACTCGGATGTTGAAGTTTCCCCATGAAGATGCAGGGCTGAGTGCCCAGGCCCTGTGTGTAGACAGGGTATGGCTCTGCCCGCGAAGCAAAGTACGCGCTATCCGTGCTTTCCAATCCATACCGCTCCTCCTTGGGTCCTCTCCAGCAGGACCAGTTGCTGGTGAGCTGGGTCTGCGCTCCGAGGAGTAACACAGAGCAAACAGATTGTCCATCTTCTAGTAGCTGGATTATCTTCATTTCGGACTAAGAAAACGTTTTGAAAACCTAGATTTTTTTTTTTTTTTCCCTTTTGACTGAAACCCCAGTTTTGGGATGGATCCCTGACTTGGGTTTGCTCTTTGGATGTCCAGCTGTTCCACTGTCTAACTGAGGCTTTTTTTAAATGTCGTTACACGTGTCTCAGGTTTCCATTACTGCTGTACTTCTAATTGTGAGTGCAGAGGGATGGATTATGTTTCTGTGAGACAATTCATTAAGATCCCAAATCCAGAAGCAATGGCAAGTCACTCTGGCCAGCGTGTTACTTTTAATCTGTCCAGACTACAGATTAGAAAATGCTGCTCCTAAAATATTTTACTTCTGCAGCAGTATTTGCCAACAGTTAATCTTATTCTTTCCCGTATTCCTATAAATAGCAGAACACGGGAACATATAAAACATATAGAGAAAGGTACTGGACTCATCCAGCAACGTATATAACATAAGATTTCAACAGAACCGAGAGATCAAGTTCTGTTGAAACATAGACGTACTTAAAGTGTTAAAATATATATCAGTGTCATCTTTCAGTCTTACTGCTTGGTCATGGCTTGTCACCAAATCCTACACAACCTTCTCACTCAGAAACCTCAGGAAACAAGAGGGAACTGTGCAGAATTTGTAGATAGTATTATTTTTTTTTAACTAACTTAGAAACACACTGCAAGTTCAAGTTAGCTGGAAATCTTCTTTTCTCTTAATTTTTTTTTGGTCATTTTTTATAGGCAATTTTGGTCTGGTCTTTGGTCACGTTTTCAACTCCCACTTACGGCTCAGTGTTATATCCAGCTTGGGGAACTGCTGTTGGCTGGTGCATGATTATCTTCTGTGTCATCTGGATTCCCGTCATTGCTATTCTAAAAATAGTGAAAGCTGAAGGAAACCTTTGTCAGGTAAGGGCACGAAACAGCTGCCGAGGCCTCAAATCTTGCTTTCCTTGGCATTATCAGGAACGCCTGTGCTTTCTTTTAGGGACATGGTTTAGTGGTGGCTTTGGCAGTGTTAGGTTGATGGTTGGACTTGATGATCCCTTCCAACCTAGACAATTCTATGATTCTTCTCCAACGCATGTTCAGTACTTTGAGGTGTGTGTTAATTGAATTTTTAGACCAAAACACGCCTCTCGTAACTGCATCAGAGGCAAGTTTACCCAGCTGTGTTCTTATAAGAAGATGGAGTCTAATTCTCTGGGAGTGTACCCAGACATTCAACAGGGATTTGCATGGTTTCTGTTGTTATTCCAGATGCTTTAAATACTCTGAAGAACTTATATCACTTTCTATCCTCATATCATTTTCCGGAGTTGTCCCTCCAATTCCTTAGAGAAACGAGCACATGTGAGGTCTGAGGTATGCTCTTCTTGCCAAGCTTTGTCAAAGAGTCCCTGCTGGTCATGGCTTTGCCTGCTTGTTTGACTTCAGTGTCCAGAATCCACTGAACCCAAAGACATTTGGAATGATTTTAAAAAAATTTTGGTGCTTTGTTTGTTGTTTGTGGAATTGCAGGGCATATCTAGAGTTACAGCTTTACTGGACTTTAAAAATAGCCCAAACTAAGGTAAAACTTTTTTTTGTTTGTTTGTTTTTTTTTTTTTGCTTTCCAGCGCATTGTAAGCTGCTGCAGGCCGGCTGCAAACTGGGGTCCCTACCTGGAATGTCACCGAGGAGAAAGATACAGCCATGTTGTAGATCCCAAAAAGGAAAAGGGACACGAGATTCCTACTGTGTCTGGCTTTGTATACACTCAACACTGAGCTGGCCATTTGGATGACAGATTTTAAACATGTGTGCGTTTTTTTTTTTCTTTAACTATTAGAAAATGACAATGCAAAAGAACAACAAAAAGCATATCAACCCTCTGCCCTTCAAAACCCAGCCCCCACCTGAAAGCAAGCCATATTATTTCTTTTTTTAGCGCTGTATGTTTGGGGAGGAAGAAGTAAATTAGATGCTGAGATCTCCCCAGAGATTTAAGTTGAGAGGGCAGGAAAAGGCATGGCAGGCTCCGCAGGCTGATGGACCAGGCGTGCTGCACCTACCCCATCCAACCCGTGTCCATCTGGACTGCAGATACCGGTGTGGAAGTGAATAAGGACACGTTCTGGTGCTCCTGAGCCGCAGGGAAGTCGAGCCAAAAGGTGCTGTGCCTGCATGCCCCGATGTGCCACGGGCGGTGACTCCCCTCTGCCGCGCTTTGCCCTCCGCAGGGGTGGAAGGGTGGGCGCTGTATCTCAGGGAACAGGGATAATTTTGCTCTGTCTAAGCCTTGCTCAGTGCTCTGAGGCTGCTCAGGATCTGATGGTGTGTATGTGTGTGTTGTCTGTGCATCTAAATATCGAGTGGCAAAAAACTGCCATCGCAGGAAATACGGCCTTAACATGGTGAAAAGCAGGCTGCTTCCTATTTCCTGTTATTCCCCTTGGCATCCCCAGAGAGCCGTCTTTTGTGTCGTGCCCCCCTGCTCAGCATTCAGCTGTCTATAATTCTGTATTCTGTCATTAGGCTCTGCAGAATGAAATAGCAACCGTTGATTTCTGGGGCGTCTGCTCTCCTACACCCACCAAGGCTTCACCTCTCGGTTTGTTCTCTGCATCTTTCACTCAGCCTTGGGGTTTCCCTTCCAAAGGAGACCCCAAGTGCTTTTTAAAGATTCAAACAGTGTTATCAGTGTTGCAGTAGAGCCAAAAGAAGCAGACCTTTACCCCAAGTGAAGGTTCCAACTGCCTTGTAGTGCTGTTACCCCCAAATTTGCTGAAATTGTGACGTTATTGATAAATTAAGAAGTTTGTAATGCATTTGGGAATGCAGACTTGTGCTTCTACCTAGGCAGGAAGGGGTCAGGTTAAGACAACCTGACTTCCCTCCTAGTGCAAATGAATTCCTGATAAAGGAAAAAAGACCTATGGATCGAACGAGTACATTTTGTGTGCTGAGGAACATCTCTCTTACTGTGATAGCGGTTCCTTGGGAACAACGCGGCAGGGTTTCTAGCTGTCACTTCCTCTCAGGGCTTTGTCACTGTTTCTGGACATGAAGGAGTGTGGATCGTGGCTTGTTGCCCAAGCCGCGTACCTTGGTGTATATTTTATACTGGCATTTTTGTGACAAATGAACACTTTATGGCAAATAAAACATGATTTTCTGTTTGTAATGGTTTTGATGCTGGGAAATGAGTTTTCAGCCTTTTGTATGGAGTTGGGGGGAGGCAGTTGCTGGGAAGTACCACCAACTAGTCTTTGATCCTAAGCCTTTGGGAGACTGAACTGGAAAGATTCAACCTCCAGGAAGCCTTTTCTTATAAAAGTTAGAGTTTAGTTTTGGAGTGGGCTCAGAAAATAGAGAAAGTAACTGAGTGGGAATTTATAAAAAGGACTGTGGGATGAGACCTGTAACAGAAGCTGGTGAAGAGGACCCCTTTCCTGCACTCCAGCTGCTCTAGGGTCAGGGTCTGGCCACGAACCAGCAAACAGTTCTGTTGCTGGCCCTGATGGTGTGGAGAGGCTGGGAGGGGGAGGGAGGCTGAGCTGCAAAGCTGTGGTGCTCATCCCCCAGTGCACCATCCATCAGAGATGCCACAGTGGGCAGCAGTTCATCCCTGGGCAGGGTCAGGCTCTGGGATCACAGAATCCCAGCCTGGTTGGGGTGGGAAGGACTCTGAAAAACTTATCAAAATCTTACTGTGTGATGCCTTTCTGATCAACTCCAGAACAGCCAAATGGCTGGTGAGTGGGATTTGCACCCAAAATGAGTATGTGCTGTGGGCTCACAGAATCACACATACTCCCAGCCTGGTGAGGGCTGGAAGGGCCCTCTGGAGCTCCCCCAGTGCCACCCCCACCAGAGCAGGGGCACCTCCACCAGTGGCACAGGACGGCGTCCAGGTGGGTTTGGGATGGCTCCAGAGGGGGAGACTCCCCCACCTCTCTGGGCAGCCTGTGCCACTGCTCTGCCGCCCTCACAGCAGAGAAGGCCCTCCTCAGGTTGAGATGGAACTTCCTATGCTCCAGTTTGTGATGGATGGAGACAGAAGTAATGGGTGAGAGCACTCCAAGAGGCGGTGGGGAAGCAGGCTGGCCAAACCAGCTCCAGCAAGAATTTAGGACAGTTTTGGCAAAAGAGATGCTGAAGGCTCATACCAGCTGCCCATCCACCACACTGCGGGAAGGTCCTGCCGCTGCCCACAGGACTCCGTTGAGGCATCTTCTACTCTGGACTTGTCTTACGGGCTTCCAGGAGCTGTTTTCATGATGGTTCACTATCAAAGCCTCCTAGAAGAGCGACAAAAGAGAACTTACCAAGGGCTGAGGATCCACTTTGTGTGCTTTCTTCTTTCTCCAAGGTAAGAAAGTCCCCTAGTTCTGAAAGCATGGTTTGCTCTCGTGGTCCCTGGCAGAGCTGCATGCACACATCTCTCATCTTCCCAGTACATCCAGTTTCTGTTGCTCTCTTTGGATGAGCTGATTTACTCCTTATGTCGCTGACTGCTGGCATCTGCTGGGGAGCCTCAAAGAGTATTTAGGAGTTGGCATTTGTATTCCTCACCCACCACAGCTCTGGCCCAGCATCCAGGGTTGCTCAACAGCCCCTGAGGGTCACATGAAGAAGTGGTGTACCTCAGCACTGCCCTGGAGGCAGTCTGGACCCAGCAGACCTGGGTGTATTCCTCACCCACACAGGCTGGTGCTCAACGTCCTGGTGTTTGTTGGGTTGAAAAAATTGGCAGCACCAACCAGTGCAGCCTTCCTGGTAAGGAAGGATGCTCTGTGCTGAGCAGGTGGTCAAAATGCCAGGGGTTTGGGGTTTTTTGCTTTGAGGGGAAAAAAAAGAAAATGGTTCTGCTTTGGGTTGAGCTAAACAGGAATGAAAATAGAACTTTTGGAAAGAGAAGAGTAGAACTCGAAAAGAAGGACAGTCACTTTGGATGGGCTCAAGACTCAACTATGTTTTCAGTCAGGAAAGGGAACACAGAAGTCTGCGGTTCCAAAAAGCCACATCTATAACATGGAAACATTTAAAGAGAGGTATTTCAACTGGCATTGGTGTCTGCATGTAAAGTGATTAGTTAGGGGCCAAGCTTGTGAAAGCGAATTTAAAACCCCAATGTTATTTCTATTGCAGAGACTGTTCATAAGCATGAAGTCAATTTTTTTAAAAAATAAAGTATTTAATTTTGTTTCTACCCCATCATCTCTTTGCGGCAGGACTCTTCCCAGCCGGGCTGCGTGGTGGTGCAGTAACTGGCAGAGAACAGACTGTGCCCGTGCTGCTGCCCCGCTCCCGGGAGGAGGGGGGCTGCGAGGGGCCGGCGGGACGCTCGCCCGGCCCGGGATGCTGATCCCTACCTCTGGAGACTCGGCCGGAATGCTGTGACGTTTGGCACTGCCTCCTGCCTGGCTGGAGGCTGTTGAACAGCATCTGAGCTTTGAATCGGACTGGCTGTATCCAAAGGTCTTTTTAAATCCGGTTCCAGATGTGTGACAAAGATAGCAGGTGGTCCTGCTTAACTCCTGCGTGGCTTCCAGCCGAGCGTGAGGGTGGCAATAGGGCTGCCCTGTTAATGCCACTCCGGCCTCTGCAGGCATGGGTTATCTAGGCAAACCAGCTGTCCCACTAAGTGGACCTTTCCAGCCCTACATCGTGATTTTGTGACACTTTGTGTGTGTCCGGCTCCCCCCCCCCCACACACACACACATTCCCAGTCCCCTGAGTTCAGCTGAGCCTCAGCCTGTTCTCTTTCTCCATGCCCATGGATCCATGGATCACAGAATCATAGAATGGTTTGGGTTGGAACAGACCTTTAAAGGTCACCTAGTCCAACCCCCTTGCAATGAGCAGAGACATCTTCAAACAGATCAGGTTGCTCATAGCCCCGTCCAACCTGGCCTGGAATGTTTCCAGGGATGGGGCATCTACCACCTCTCTGGGCAACCTCTCTGTGGGTGATGTGGCCTTGCTGAGGTGTCCTCTTTCTGGACTTTTTTTATTTTTAAATTATTATTATTTTTTTGTAAGAAGCATCAGCATAGACCCAGAAGCAGCGTACTTGTTTTCAAATGATGGTTTTTATTTTCTTTTTTCAGCTTTAAATCTCATTTTCCAACATTTTGTGAGTCTACAGCAGGGCTTTGCGGTGGCGTTTGGCTCTAGATCCATGGCTGTGTTTGATGTAGGCACTGTGGCTCCACGGTCAGGCTCTGAGGGATGGGGCACAGTTGTGCCACGCAGTTGTAGCACGGCTGTTTGGAGTGGGATGAATGAGAAGCGAGAGGCACCCGTCTGTGAGCAGAGCTGGTTTGTGGGGAGCCACATAGGAGCATAGAGGTGATCTGTTGTGGGTAAAATCATGTCTTTCCCGTGAGTCACCTTTTGAAGGGGTCGGGAATGCTTCGCGAAGTCTGATCCAGCAGAGCAATCCCCAAATGTTCAAATTGAAACTGATTGTGAAACAAATTAATGTCTGCTGACCCCAAAGAAACTACTGGGGCAAAAGGTTCTACATTGTTGGAAGAATCTGCCGTCAGTGATTTTGGTGATGTTTGCTTTTTAGTCCAAACGGTCTTTGTTTTAGAAGATTAGTAAATACAGACTACAAAATACCAGAGAAGGGAAATGCTGCAGTTTGAGCAAATTATTTTTTGAATTCCAAGAGGTATTTTTTTTAATCCAAGCTGCTTTGGAAGGCAGGTGAGGGGGAAGTTGACATTTTGACTACTTGATTTGGAATGAGGAAATTGTTGTTACAATTGTCTGAAA